ACCTTTTTGAGAGCGTGTGCCCAAATTGCTGATAATTTTTGGAAAAATTCTTTCGCGTGCCCATTGAAATTGTGAACAGCAAAATTACTGATATTATTATTAACTTTATGTATTATAAATATTTTATATATATAATTATTATAAAATTAATTAATTATAGACATATACAATGTCTACACCTTCGTATATATATATATATAAATTGGGAAGGCAGTGTATTCCGCATGCAAAGAAAATTTTCTCGCATCCCATAGGTTTTATGTTATGTCTAATTTTAGATTTGGTAAAGAATGCAGACTTAATGTGGAAACAGAGTGTGTGGACATCAGTCATCAGTGCTGGACTAGCTGCCAAACACTTGAAAGAAGGTGGACTCTTGTCACTGACAGGAGCTAAACCAGCTCTTTCAGGAACTCCAGGTATATCGTGTATAGTACACCAGTTTTCTAAATCTCTATCAAAGTGTAAAGATGAGATCCTGTTATTCATTAATTTTTGTTTTTGTAGAAAACATTATTTACTCTTGTGGATGCTCATTGTTCATATGGCCATGATGTATTGAAAGTCTTTTGACTTGAGGAGAAACACTCATTGTTCGAGTTCCAAATATTTTGGTAGCTACTTACATCTGATAAAGTGGGAGAAACTTTAATATGCTTTACATTGAGGCTCTGTATAAATTCAACTCTAACATTAATGTGTACACATATCATGAATACAGAGATAACATATTTATATATAGAATAATAACAATAATATGTTGGTATAAAATGTGGCAGTGAAATAAGAATATTGGCGACCTATATTGGTAATACCAAATTTTTGAAGATGTATAATAACCATTGTATAAATTCATGAAATTCTTACAAGTTTTGCTATTGTCTTCAGTCTTGGAGAATACAGAGATAACATATTTATATATAGAATAATAACAATAATATGTTGGTATAAAATGTGGCAGTGAAATAAGAATATTGGCAACTGGTTTTGGTAATATCAAATTTTTGAAGATGTATAATAACCATTGTATAAATTCATGAAATTCTTACAAGTTTTACTATTGTCTTCAGTCTTGGAGAACCGTTCTCTTCATTTATTATTAAGGGTTCTTTTCAACACCCACATTCTTAAACTGTACCATTCTAGAGTTATATTTTATTAATGTTGCAAACATTTTTTTTTCTTTGGGCAACTTAATCTTTCCTTTGAACAACTAATTTCTTTTTGTTCAATACTGGTCAGTTATTTGAAATGTTTTTGTCACTTGTGTTTTACATACATGTAAGTAAGACTAGCTATATGTTTACTGATTTCTACCAAAAAGTATGACAGGCATTTTGTACTAACGTGTTACATTTACTAGTGTTATCTGGTAGCCCTGTAACGTTTTTTGGATATTTTCTGTGATTTATGCTTCATAACACCACCTGTACAATTACTAATTTCAAATTGAAATTTGTTATACTGTTTTTCTCTTTTTAAATTCATGGTATAATATTACTGCTAAAACTTTTACTGAATGGCTGGATACCTTGATATAGAGAGCTTGGTGCCCAGAATTGTTAGGTGAAGTTTTGAATACGTATCAGGGCTGGGTGTGAAGCCTGACTGTGGATTGGAAGGTTCATAACATTGAATATGTTCTACACTTACATCTGAAGAGGTGCTATTTGGCTAAAAGTAGTGGCCTTAGTGACAAGTGCTGTCGACTAGATGCACTCCTGGTTAGCAGTTCAAAGTTAGGATAGCTATGTAGCCCATTTAACACATGGAGTATTGTTAAGGCTGAAAACAGCAAACACCAGTTATGTACATAGATAAAATCTCACCTAAAAAGCAACAGATAAAACTAAGAGACCAAGATTTTTTAGTTGTCACGTATCTGGTTGTTTGAAGGTTTTTAATTTGTTTAACTCCTTCCTATGTTTAAACAGGAAAAATACTTCTTACTTGTCGATTGAATATTAATGTCTTAAGTATATTGCTTTCTTTTAATTCCAGTTTTTCTTTCTGTTATCAGGTGTATTGTTATATTTTTTGTACAAACTAATCATCAACAGTAGATGCTGACAAAACATGGTCAGTGTGGGGATAGTACTTTATTCTTGCATGGTTGTACAAACATAGTATTAGCTAGAACAATCCTGCTCTAATTGAATGCATTATAGACTTCCTTTATACAATGATAATGTTTCTTGCAATAGTAGAAAGTAGAGAATTAGCACTGACTTGAAACTAGTATATAAACCGTAATTAGAATGACAAACTATCAGAAACAGTAACATAGAACTGAATGGATACAAAGCATACGTAAACTATCTGTCAAATAAATTGCCTAGTAAATGAAAACAATAATAATATTGCTTTTTTTCATAATAAGTAAATGCTTTAGTAAATTTTCCTGCTGTATCACACAATAGAGCTTTTGAATCCTTTTGTAAATAATAATGAAAAAATGGTTATTTTTATCCTTGCTTCTCTTTTTTTATGTATGAAACTACTACTGAGAGTGCATATACCTCATGAGTAAATGGTTAGTAACCTGATGAGTAAATGGTTAGTAACCTGATGAGTAAACGGTTAGTAACCTTGATGAGTAAACGGTTAGTAACCTTGATGAGTAAACGGTTAGTAACCTTGATGAGTAAACGGTAAGTAACCTTGATGAGGAAACGGTTAATAATCTCTTAAGCTTTGGATTTTCCATGTCTTGAATTTATTAGTTTATCTTAGTTAGCACCTTTTAAAGTCATTGTTGTACATTAGTCATTCCTTTGTTAAGAATGAAATATTAACCCTGTATGCATCAGAGTCAAAGTGTGTGTGCCATGGCATTTTAAAGAATGCCATTCAATGTGTTATGTATTTGATGTCAGAGTTATCAGCTATTCATTGTACCTCATATTGCTAATTTAGTGAAAGTTTCTAGTAAATATCGGATATACAGGGATACTGAAAAACTTGTAGTTTTAATAAGAACTTGCCACATTTCGTGGAGATATACAATAAATTCAGAATTATAGTCAACTTTTCTTTTCCTAACGTGGTTAGTCCAATAGGCTGACCCCTTGCACATTTAGTTAAAAGAGATGAGGGCAGGAGAATAATGCATGTCAATACATATAATTAGAGGTTTTTATACTACTTGTTTGCGAGTTGCATCACCACAAATGATAGTGGCATTTTTATTTTTGAATGTTGAATGTCTTTGATACATATTTAAAAGTATTAGGCATTACTCTAATTTCTTGTCTTGTAATATGTTGTTATTTTTTAAATTATTTATTGCAGTATCACCTAATTATTTAGAAATTCAAGTATTGTCGGACACTGTAAAATTGTTGTAATGTTTAAACTTGTTTTTTTAACAGGAATGATGGGATATGGGCTAGCAAAAGCTGCTGTTCATCAGTTTGTTCATAGTCTAGCAGAGCGTAAAAGTGGGCTTCCTAACAATGCACTGGCAGTTGCTATCCTTCCTGTAACATTAGATACACCTATGAATAGGAAGTTTATGCCTAATGCAGATCACACTACCTGGACTTCTTTGGATTTTGTGTCTGAGTATGTTTTATTCTTATGTCAATAATGTTTGAAACACTTAAAGAAACAAACTGCCATTAAAACTACATCTCGAAATAGTGAACAGGGCTTTGGAAAGTTTGAAAACTAGTCAATCTTGATCAGAAGTCTTGACATTTCCTTGTTGCAAATAGCTGATAGATGTCTAATTAAAAATAAATGTTTAGTTTTGGATTTACAAGTTTGAAGAACATGGGGTAAATTTTTTTGTGAATTCCCACCCGCCTATGTATATGCATACAAACATAGTGCAATACAATGTGTAGTAATAGTTTTGTTTTGAGTTTACTTACTGACTGCATATATCAAATTGTTGTGCTTGTTTTAACAATAAATCTTACTTACTCCAACAACTGTAACTTATAAAAAAATTTGTTTAATGTAACTGAGATGTGTATACCCTGTACTGTGTTACCACATACAGCCATTCTTGCTCAATTGAATTCCATACAAAATTTATGTGCAGCTTGTCCACAATAGAAAGTTTAGTGACTAAAACAGCTTTATTAGCCAATCACAAACCATTCCTAATGTTTTCAGACCCTTTTGGTGGATTGAACAAACTTTTCTCTTGTACAATCTTTTTTAAAAAAAAAAATGGACCAAAATATATTTTTGTGGGGGTTCCAATTTGCAACTTTGTAGTTAGGGAATTTACAGCATGGAGTCAAAAATATGGGTTTGTAGTTTGGGTAAATAATGTCTACAGTATCTCCAGCCTTGTTTGCTTATTTTTTTTATGATCCCTATTCGTATTTAAATTCCCAATTTTTTATTTATCTTGTAATCTAGGAGCCCATCTTGGAGTCCCTTTTACGTCAGCCTCAGACATCCATCTTTCATCATGGTGTACAATGTTTTCAACTTCACATGTGGCTTTTGTCTGGTCCCATTACAAGGTGGACAAGTTTTGTTGCTCACTCTTATTAGCCATTCACCTTTGCAGTTTATTAGCATTCCTCCATCAGCTGCTCCCTTCAGGTCATCGAACTCCTCCTCATCTCACTTTCTTCTTTTACCTGGTTTTTCAAGAGTGGTCTGTCAGTTTCTGTGAGTGCTGGTTCGATAGTGACTTTGTTAATGACTTTCTGCTTTCTACATTGCCATTCTACTTTTCTTTCTCTGTTTCTTATGGAGTTCTTCAGAGCCTTTCTAATCTTTAGTTGTCCTCATCTGGTTCTTTTTCTGGACTGGAACTTCTGTTCAGTTTTCAGTGCTCTCACAAGTCCTCATTTTTGAACCTTTAGCCACCTGCTCATTGTATATTTCTCTTCAAATGTATTTTCTTCTATTAGCTTGCAAAAGATGTCAATCTTATATTTGTATCTTAAATCTTCGTCCATTTTTTTTTTCACAGGACGGGTTGATTTCATTCCTGACTGCTCCTTACTTCCAAAGACTGGGAGGGTGATTATATGATTTCTTCAATTTCTCCTTTACATGATCATTCAGACTGCAATCAGCTCCTCTGCCACATATGGGCAGTATGATGTTACTTTGCTTGCACATCACTTTTTAGAGCCAATTAAGATTGTCTTTTCGACACATGCTCAAAAAGTTTTTCAGCACTAGCCAATTGTTTCGTGAAGAGCTTGTCTATCTGGAACACACTTTTAGGAATGGAAAATTTTAAAGACTAAATACAAATACATTTTTAACACACTAAATTATGTGAACAATTATCAGTTATAGGCAGAAACTGGCACCTCATTATATTAGGTTATGACCCCCCCATTACTACAACTTTGTTAAATCCTAATATTAGTTCTTGATTTTGGAGAAAATTTTTAATTATGCATTGTTTAATATAGTAAATCACGAGACCTTATACTGAAGTTTCATAATAATTTTGAATTTTTCCTTTGAGAAGTTCCTTTACAAGCAGAAAGTGATTATCTTTCCATTCTTACCATTTAGGTTGTTGTTCAAGTGGGCCAATAGCCAGGAACGACCAGCTAATGGAAGCCTGGTGCAGCTAATAACAAAAGATGGACAAACAGAACTGATCCTCGCTTGAATGTTACCAGTACCTGTTATACTTGGATGTTTGTCATTTTTCGTTAAGGAGATGACGAAATTGGTTTTTGTATCTCTGTGTTGTAAGAATGTTTGAAACCCATGGTTGGTGCTGTGTACTAATTCAAACTTTATTACTTGATTTAACTGTTTTCTTTACTAAATGATAATCAAAACAATAATTTTTAAGATGTCTGTGTTTAATAACCTTTGGTTGAATAGTAAAACTTTCTTTTTTGTATGTTACTTTATCTGGTGAAATGAAAATCATGAGCTATTGATGAGAAAATTTAACAAAACTTCCTACATGATTTGGACAGATACATAGTTACTTAATTATGTTATTACAGGTATGAAAAATAAAATTTTAGAGTTATCTTTCGGCAGCCTTAAAGTTTCTTCTTGTTCAGTACCAAAACTCATCTTCATCAGGGTTGGATGTATTTCTGATAGACAAAAAAAATAATATATATATATATATATATATATAAACAACATTTCCAATAAACTTTTGGCTGCCACAAATTTAGCCCAGCTGGTGAATTAAAGGCCTCTTGGACAGTAATTTT